ATAGACAAAATGTTCGAAAAATATTAAATGTTTTCAAATAGATTATTACAAATACTGCAATTCAGAGAGCTCAAATCAAGATGCTTAGAATGATCAGCAACGTTCCATGGTATTTGATCAACAATATGCTATGCTGCAAGAACTTGAAAATTTCCACAGTGGCGGTCATTAACAGCAGATACTCAATTTTGAATATAAATTGGAAAAATGGCCAAGTTATCTGCCGCAAACAATAACATAATTTTCTTTTATAGGGAAAGTCCCGTAAACCCGGACGGCACTTAGCGCCGGACACTATATTTAAGATGCATTATTCAGGCGATTATAAATCTTTTTATTTCAAAATATAAGTGCACACGGCCACAACGGGAGCAACTCTTTGCTGTTTTAGGCGCAAAATCACGACGTCACCTAAATATCAATGAAAGTAATTCTAGCATATTTATGCATTTACATTTGAGTGGTACGCAAAGATAAAAGTAGTACTTAATTGTTATCCATAAAATGGTAGAACATTATTAGATCTTTTAAACAATTTTTGTAGGTGCCACCAAATGAACGAAAATGTCTGCTCTTTAGCACCGGATACTAAGTCGTCCCTTAAAGCCGGACAGTAAATATATTGATATTTCGTGTAATTTAGATTAGAATTACTTAATTTATTCCAATTATTTAATTTTGTTCTGTATGAGTGCTAACGGTCATTACATACCCCCATTTTTCGTATATCCTAGTCAAAGAATGAAAAGCTTATGGTGGATGAATAGTGATTTTTTTTTGCAATATCTAAGAATATTCGTCAAAGACACATGTGCAGACATTCCAGAGTGTGGAGATGGCTACATATGTTATTAATGCAGGTTATTTTGAAATGTCCGGTATTAGGTGGCACTGTTTAAATCATATTTTTTGATACCAAAGTTTGATTGATAGTATTAAGTATTTTTAGCAAAGATTGCGGTTTTGTTAATTTAGTTTGATTTCTAACTTTGTTATATAACATAAATCATAATTTAATAAACATTTCGTAAAATATTTTTTGATTTATTTATAAATAACCTTAGGTGTCCGCGACTAGGAGACCTTCCTCTACAGAGAAAAGTGTTCCGCACAAGTAACTTATAATTATTATTTATTATCATCTTCCTATTTTTTCCTCTCTTTTAATTTTTAATGCTCACTTCTAACCTAGACGTTTTATTTGAAATCTGATTGTTAAAATAAAATGTGAATAAAAAATAAATAATTTAATACTTACTACTCAACTATAGTTAAGTTGTAAGTATTTTATAGTCAATACAATTTTATAAGTCTTTGTGCAATTTATAAATGAATTCTAAAACTATGTTTTTTATGTATATGTATATTGTTACCCAATAAATAAATCATGATAAATAACAATTTATTTTTCTTTTATATGTGTATGGGGTTCGAAGTCATAAATGGAAAAAATTCGAAATCATAAATGCAGTCGTAAATGAGAAAAATTTAAGAAGTCCTGAACTGCAGGCTGTAGCAATGAAAAATGTTTATACATGAAGAAAATGCTTTATTATAGGCATCTTTAACATCGCTTTTCCCAAATGTTTCAATGATGTAAATCAGTTATGTTTCTTTTAATTAAAAATATGCGAGACGTTTTTATCTATCTTTTAATTAAAGGTAAAATGATTTTATTTATATAAAATAAAATCTATTATGATCGTGCTTTAATCATAAAGAATTTACTCCAGCTCCAGGTTCCAGCAATGCTGTACTATGATATATTGAAAAACAACAGTTCTGACTCGAGATTTTATATTTATGACGTTTTTTTTTCGTTGATTCGTATTCGTCGTGGAGATTTGTTCGAGCGGGCATTGTACGATTGACAGCGGTCAGCTTGTTTGACATGCTGAGAACCCGGCCGAGGCGTCCAATACGCGCATACCGGTCAATAATACAAGAAGCAGTAGCTAGATTATCTCAGCGACTCCGTGATGGTTCATATTGATCCCATGAAGATTATGCACGCCGTTCTGATCACCGAACGCTTATTCAGATCATCAGATCACAAGGCCGATTATTTAGATTACTCGATACGGAACACAGAAATGACAGAGCAAGGATCACATCTCATGCATAAGCAAGACGATCGTGTTATAATTTATGCATTCGATGCAGTTAATAATAGAAAATTCAGTTGAGAAATTATCCAGTCAGAATTCTACCTTATGATTCTAAATCAACATCTCGTAGTTCCTGATTGTTCGGAATTCAAATTTACGCGCTATGAAAGATTTTTGTGGAATGTAGTATACTACTAATCGAATTTTGGAATTGATAAAATAATGAATAGATATTTAACGGCATTTTTTCAATTGAATGAAGTGTAAAATAGGGTAGAGCAGGGTTTAAAGGTCCGTGGGTAAAAACCATTATCTTAAAAATAAGTATAGTTTTTTTTAGGATTTGGTCGAAATCATTTTTAAGCACTGTTTGTTAGGTAACTATAACTGAATATTATCAACTTCCCGTAGGGTAAGTTATAGCCGAAATCGAAAACTAAAATGTTTGGATATGTTCACGTTTTAGAAGTTTCTGAACATTTTGGCATACATCAGAAAAATGGATGTGTGTGTGTGTTTTGTGTGTCCCCACGAATCAAGCGATTTGAATTTGAAAGAAAAACATTCGATTCCTATTGATAGGGATATGTGCTGATTAGTTTTTGGCAAAACCAGATCTAGATACGGACCAAAGAGTGTAGAAAATAGAAATCCAGTTTTTGAGAGAACGGAGTATCCGAATAGAATGATTCAAAAAACATTCTGCTTTCATTGACAAAACAAAGGCTATTGATATTTTTTAATTTCAAAATTTATCTATTTCATTATTTATCAAATGATTTATAAATTAGCTGAAAGTTTTACTGATTGTGAGCATAGTCTGATAGTCGTTTGTTTGATATGTGGTTTTTGTTGCGATGTAATGGATTTGGTTTTTATAATATAATTGCTAAAAATTAAAATGGACCTTTGTACCCCACCCCACCCTTTATAAAATTTAAATATTTCTTTCATTATATTTAATGTATAATTATTTGATAAAATTAGTTGGAAGTATAATTTTTGTTATTTTTAAGTGCTAATTATTGGTTGTATGTCGCGTGTGCAGTGATATTTTTTAAACGCTTAATTATGGTTTGAATCGAACTCGAATCTGACTTTCTTCGTTGCTTTGTATTGTGAAAACCAAACCAATTACAGCACAACAAATAACGCATATCAAACGAATAGCTTAAAATAAGACACTAGACCTGTTTGCCCCCTAGCCATCTCATTGTACCACGTCTGTGGGGTAAAAAGGGCCAGGTTACAAATTTTTGAAAAATAGGGATTTTTACTGAACATAGTCAGACAGTTGTTCGTTTGATATGCGTTATTTGTTGTGTTGTAATTGGTTTGGTTTTCACAATTCAATTGTACAAAATCAAAATGAACCTTTGTGCCCCGTCCTACTCTATAATGCATTCGAAAAACAAAACAACGAAGAATGTCCGATTCGAGTTCGATACAAACCATAATTAAGCGTTTAAAAAATATCACTGCACACGCGACATACAGCCATTAATTAGCACTTAAACATAACATAAGCATCATACTTTCCACTAATTTTATCAAATAATTATACATTGAATATAACGAAAAAAATATTTAAATTTGATATAGGGTAGGGTAACAATAAAATCTGCGAAAACCAATTATTTCTTAAATACAAAAAAGCCATTTGAATGAGTAAATCACAATTTCAAGAATACAATATCCGAGACTGGCGTTAATATTTCATTCATCGTTTCATCGCCACAAATCCGAATATAGGTTCGATATGACGGCGCTCTGACATTTGTTCTCCCTCGATATTTTAGACGGCATGCGCTAAGTGCTTCACAGAATCAGGAATTTTACGAGAGAGGAAAAAAAGGAGTCGACAACGAACTACTAGAAATATGTAACGAAATGTAGACACATCATATTTCACAGTGGCAGGCGACCTTAACATATACGATCATCGCTAAATGTACAGAAACCTTTTGTATCCTATTCAGCCTGATGGCGAACACCATTTTAAATGGAATATTTATGTGCTTAGTATTTCAGAATCGTGCTCGACATAGATCATCTTAACTTACGATACCTACATGCAAGAGCAGCATCAATGAAACTTGAAAACAGCCGCTACGAATCGTATTTACTTTGATTACGCTTGAAAGTCATCGTTGTTTATTGTATCCTAGCTGTAAACACTGAAATTAAATGCTTTGTTTCTCCTTTTGAAATTTAGATAAATGCTAATTAAGAATTAAAGTTAATTATTGTAAATGCATCATAATTGTCATTGGAACTGGCAGTTATGAATAAAACTTGAATACAAACAGTGGGTGGTATTTCACACTTTAGAACGATGATCTTAAAGGAACTAAATATTTAAATCATTTGAATAATTTATTAATTTATAATAAAATATTTCTTTATATTATACATAAACAAAATTATACAAATATTAATAATACTTTGGAAATATTACAACAATAATTATTTACAATTCATTGTCATCATCATCAATAACATTTTATTCTAATTTTTACTGCATTTTTAAGTTAGGTTGCTTTTTAGATAGTTGTTTCATGTACATTGCAAATAAACCTACAAATTGCTTAACTATTTGCAGAAAAATACAGCCAATGATCTTAACCTACCAATCATATTCTATTATTAATTAATAATTGTTAATTAATATTATAATTTTCGTGCAAAATCGCCAACTTACGATTAAAAAAAATAATACAATTTTAATCAATCAATTAAATGATTTTTAATCGTTAATTAATGTAATAAATCAATTAGCTTGTACCAAAATGAATTTTTGTTTAATAGTAGCAAAACTATGCTGAAAACAAAAATTATATTAAAAGATTTTGTTTCTTACTTACAGAATTCATAAACATTTTAAATATATTATTATTTTCCAATATTTTGTGGGATTTGTATTTGATTTCCACCATTATTGTTAGGATTTGGTGGACCTTGACCATTATTTGGCAGATATCCATTATTGACATTTGGTAGACCTGCGTTTGGTCGATTTGCTTGCGTATTTGGCTGCCCTTGATTTATATTTGGGTTCTCCTGTATTGGAACTTGATTTCCATTCCATTGAGGGTAATTATTTGGCTTCACTTCTCCTGGATCGTTAATACCTTGAAATAGTTTATATGAAATTTTGAATTCAAGGGCCAATTTTTCTATATTTACCTTGTGTCGGATTCGAGTTAGGTGCAGTAGAAAAGGTATTAGCATTTTGATTCCAGCCCTGATTTGGATTTGCTTGAGCATTTGGATACCATTGATTATTTGAATTTTGGTAAGGTCCAGGATTTTGATGTGAATTTGCATTCTGATTAGGAGCTGCGTTCTGATGTTGATTTGGATTCTGATATATATTTGGATTCTGATACGGTCCCGTGTTTTGATAAGGACCTGGATTTTGATACATTTCTGGATTTTGATACTGACTTGGATTTTGATATGGAATTTGATGCTGATACTGACTTGGGTTTTGATAAGGATTTGAGTTCGGGTATGGAGAAGGGTTTTGGTACGGATTTTGATGTGGATAGGTCACTTGATTTTGATTTGGATTAAGGTATTGATTACCATTCTGTGTATTTCCTTGATTTGGATTATCAGTGCTAGGATTTGTAGGATGTTTCGGTTTATGTCTAGGCCTTAAGAAACTTGGAAACCATGCCAATGGATTGAATAAATTGTCTTCATCATACTCATCAAAAAACCACCTACGTACGCGTTTACCATCTCTGTTTCGTGGATCTCTATGGAGCTTTAAAATTAAACCGTATTTAGCAAATGAAAAAAAAATGAATAGATTTATAAACGAGTACTTAAAAATATTTCTATTATTATAGCCAAACTTTAGAACAAAAAGATAGTTTAATGCTCAAAAGTTAATATAGATAACAATTCAAGTTTTATTCCTCCCTTGATTTTTGGATACGAAATAGTTGTTAAGTTATCTCGAATCAACCTAATTACTCTATTGTTGATTGTTGTAAAGGTTTTTCTTTAATTTCAAAAATTTGTTGATATTTATTTAGTGGAAGAAAAATTAGGACATAAAAAATCAATGTATATTTTGAACCCCCTTCCAAATAATTTTAATAAATACGTGATATAATATAGCAATTTATAGCTCGGGTTTTGACTGTGATGTGCTTTCAAAATTTTGAAACTTTGGATGAAATAGTATAAAACATATAACTTAAAATCGCGATCAAAGCATTTGATGTATATACGATATTGTTGTCAATATGTATTGCTAAACGATGTGTTTAACACATAGACCTTATAACTACATAGTATAAGGTCTATGGTTTAACATATTAAATGAAATTAAACTTATCTGCGTAATTAACATAATTGGATGAAATATCCTTTGAGGAAATGAAATATACTATGTGTTCACATTAACTAAAACATTTTATTAATACTTAAATTTTTGTGAAAACATATGATTATGAATTTTGACTGCACACTTGAATACATTTTACTCACATTTTCACTATTTGTGAAGTGCAGCAATAAGCACAAAACCACAATTTTAACGAACATTGCAATACTTTTGAAGTAAGTCTCAATTTTTCATAGAATTTAAAGCAACTGATGAAAGAACATAATGATTATCAGAGAAAAAATATTTGTAGTTCATTACAGCATACTAAGAAATATTTGAACAATTGGTTTTCTTAAAGTATACGAAATATGCTTGGTTCATTTACGCATTGATCTTATTGTAAGTGTTTTTGTTAGACAAATATGTGAAAGATAAAATGTGAATCAAATGCTTATTGTATTTGAAAATGTCTGTCATATTTATGTCGTACATATTTATTTTTATAATAAACATGGCTAACACATAAATTCATTTTAAGAAAAATGTTGATGATTTTTATAAAAATATATTTGTTAATGTCAAAATTTGTTCATTTATGTATATTTTATATATATAGCATATTCGAGGAGTAAAACGTTTTAGCTATTGTATTGTACAAGATGACAATGAAGTTAAAAATAAATTCTTCATATAAGAATTTATATAATATTGTTCATTGGTAATATGGTTATACTAGTAATACAAACATTTATTAATATCAACCACCATACTAATATTTTAAAATAATAAACTAATTACTACCATACTTCAAATATGATATGATTTATTCGAGATAACTGAAGCGTGAAACATAAATTCAGTCAGCAAATTGTCTAAATTTCTTGAGAAAGTAGTAGTTTGTTTGCAGACTTGTAGTTGATTGAACTAAAGAATTATTGTTTGTTAAATTTATTTTTATTCTATCATCTACAAAATTAATCAATGTTCAATATTCTTCCAAATGAAACTAGACATTGAAATCTCCAGCAAGATATGTAGTGATATCTTATTGTAATTAGTATTTAATAAACTTGAAACTTGATCATAAAAATTAAATATTTGCTCAAAAACAAATTTTGTAGTAAACGATATAGTTTTATACATACGTGACTCATATAAGGTAATACAGTAATCTTTTAATATCAATTTTTTCATTATTTATCTAAATGTACACATGTACACCTTTGTAATGCTTTATCTTGAAGATCATGCTAATGAGCTTATTGTTTTGACTCTACGACAAGTAGTTCAATTTAAAATATTTATCAAAATTTGAAAACATTACTAGATTTTTTGACGTTTATTAAAATCACATCTTTGGTCGACGTTTTCTCAGAAACTGCTGAATCGATTTCAAAAGTTCAAAAACCATTCGATGTAACTCAATAAAATAAAGACTATCTTTCTCAGTTTTGTGTGATGATCGACCGAGTCGTTTCTTTGTAAGTAAGTGAGCAGTATATGATATATGTAATCGTCTCAGTATTTTTTATTTTATAGTAGGTATTTGATATTTCACAAAATAATTTATTAAGTTTCTAAATATCTAAATCTCAGTTTCGGTTGATTAAGTCAATTATTATACATTTCGGAAAGCTCATGCAACTGCTTTAAGGCAAAATGCCACTTTCAACTAGTTTATTTATTGTGCAATAACTCCAGTTATTTATTTGAAAAATTCACAGTTTGTGAATATTTTTTTGTGTTTTTGGCATGAACTATATTGCTATCAAAATTAAAAGTGCGCACTAAAGTTAAGATCAATTAAGCAAAAGTAATAGTACAAAATTTTAAATATTGGATTTGAGACAAGAGAATCAATATGAAATACGAAAAAGGTGATTTTAATTGTAATATAGGATTTCCATATACATTTACCTTTCTTAGTGGCAAAACAATGGTAAATCAAAATCAAAGAATGGATCGTCATAAGTTATTTGTGATAGTGTGACAAGAAAATTGACAGTTTTTGAATATTGCTCAAAAAATTTATTGTTCACTTAAGTTAACAGAATTGCAAATTTAAAATCTATGGTATGTATTTGCATACACTAGACAGTTGTGTACAACATTTTTTTAGTGTACATTTATTATTCAAGTTTTTACTTTTATCAATGCAAGTATTGCCCAATAATTTTGCAACTTATGAAATATCGGTAACAAAATTCATATAATTATAGTATTAAATATATTAAGTCAAAATTTTACAATATTCGATTTTTAAATATACATAATTATCTTATAGTAATGTACCTAATTTCTTATTATTTTTGTTCATCAGGAATAATTGATTCTATAGCTGTTGATTCTAATGGAGTTGTTTCAAGTTCCTGATTTAATGGAATTATATCCTGTTCTTGTTGTATATTCGATGGTATATCAATTGGCGATTCGATAGGGATGACTGGATTTGCTGGTTCTTCAACTGGAATATTAAATTCTTGATCTGAAGTTGGTTTGTTTTCTTCTACAATCGGTACTTGTTCAGCAACACTTTGTTGTTGACTCGGTTGCAGTAACAATTCCTCTTGAGGTGATTGGAAGAGGTTATCAACTGGATATTGTAATTCATTGGGTGCATTGGATTCAATAGGTAGATTATTCTGCGGTTCGAAATTTTGATTAGGGCTATTTGTTATTTGGCTAGGTATATTTGAATTTGATTGCTGCGAGTCTTGATAAGCGACCACTGGATTCCAGTTTTGAGGTGATTGGTTTTGACTTTGCATAAATTCATTTAAATTGCCTATTTGTGGATTAGATTCATAATATGGATCCCAATTTCCTACTTGATTCGGTGCTGAGTTATCTGGATATGGTTGTTCCCAAGAATTGCCTATATTTACATTAACTGGATAACCTTGGTTTGGATCAAATGAAGGGTTAATATTATCCTGATATATTGGGTATGCCGTAGTCGGATTAGATGGATTTAAATTAGGTTGATATGGTACGCCCTGAGCATTTGGATACCATGCATTTGGGTATCCTGGATTAAAAAATGGATTCCACAAGTAAGGATTATACATATTATATGGGTAATTGTAATCAAAATTCGGTACATTTTGTTCATCTTGTTCTTGTTGTATATTTTGTTTATATGGATTTCTTTGTCGCCAATAATCCAAAAAACACCTTCGAACTCTATTGCGTTCATTCCTCCTTGTCAAACCTAAATGTTCATCATGGTAGTGCTGTAAATTTTACGAAATAAAAATAAAGATGGTTAACTAGAAGCAAATATATTTTATAGTTGTCTTTCGAATATATTGAGATATTCTTGTTGATTTACAAGATTTACAACTTCAATACAAATATTTCGAGAATATATTGTTTTAGTTGGTTTGTTGTGATGTTTTTGTTGAAAAATTATATGAACGAATTTGATAATTCAAAAACGATTTGAAAATATTTATTGGAAAGCGCGCTCAAGGCGTTTCTCAGTAACTAATTTTTAAACATTTATTAGTAATTTGTTGTTCACGGTTTAAAATTATATTTTTCTAACTTTAAACTAATTCTGCAAATAATGGAAATTGACTGCTCAAGACAATATTTTAAAAATTTTAAGATATCAAAATAGATCTTATGTCAGTAGAAACATAAAACTTTTCAAACAACTACTCTAAAATAATTGAAAGAAACAAAATGTGGTTAAAATTGCAATAAAAATGTACTTACATGATGTGTATAAGCATAATTGATCAATAGGGTAATCATGAAAGCTTTAGGTAACATTGTAAAATTTTATGTTGGCACTAGCTATTTTATTTTTCTATTGAAAAATTATTTCATTGGGAGATCATATATAGATTTTTTCCGAAATATATGTGAGTGTCTCAGACATTGTAGATATTTATTTAACAATTTTCAAACAAAGGATTTTAATGATTGAATAA